CTCCAGCACCACATGCCAGCCAGCCGCGCCCCCTGGTGGGCTGAGCTGGCCACACACACACACACACACACACACACACACACACACACACACAAACAGAAGAAACCAGGCCAGGCCAACGTTGCGCGCACACCCACTCTGCGCAGCAACACTTTGCGTGGTGCGAGGAGGCGAAGGCGCAGGAGAGCGGGCAGCCCTGCCGGGGTCGCTGTGTCCTTCAGGCCCAGCTTTCCAAAACTGCTGTTTTTTTTATGGTAAAATTGCCCCATGTGGGCACAGTCAACTTCCCCTAGAGACCTTTGTGTTTTGGGGGGTTCTTGGGGTGTCTTTTTTGCAACAGGGATCGAACTTGGGACCATAGTGACCTGGTGGTATAGTCTGGAACATTTTTAAAATAGTTTGGATTTATTTCTCAATTAAGTCACTCTCTTGGTTACTTTTCTCTCGTTGCTGAGACAAAATACCTGATGCCCAAAATTAAGGAAGGAAAGGTTTATTTAGCTCACAATGTGTGGAGGTTTCAGTCCATAATCAGCTGACTCCACGGCTGGGTGGCTTGACAGAAGGGTGACAGTTTATGGTGGTGGGAAACAACAAAAGGACAAGGGAAGAGTGTGAGGCAAGGCTCTTTCTTCCCCTCACGCTGTATGCAGGCTGCCTGCCCTGGGGCGGGTGCAGCCCTCACATCCATAATCCCAGGACTAGGCAATGAATCAAGCACGAACTCTAGACTCAGCTGCCCATGCCTGCATGAGGCTTTGGGGGACGTCTGGACACAAACCTTTACAGTCACTAACCTGCCCAGGCTGGCCTGAGCTTGCTACCCTCCTGCCTCAGCCTCCTGGAAGACGGCATACTCCCCAGCCAGGACATCGCATTTTTCAAAGATCAGCAATGGCTCTGCACAGTGCTGAGCAGAATCTGAGTCCAGAGTGAAGACAGCAAAGGGGACAGGGATGCAGGACGCCAGAGCCGCCAGCTCCTGACCCCATTTGAGCCATCTGCCGCATATCTGTAGGCTCATGCAAATAATCAGCGCTTTTAGCAAGAGTGGGCTCTGAGAATTTATACAGTAACCCAGGCAACATGACCTCACCCGCACGCCCAAGGAGCTCGCTATGGTGCAGCAGCAGGAAGCTAAGGACCCGTGACCCAGCTGGGACCTCCAGAGTCAGCGACCTTCAAGCCTACTAAGAGCAAGAAGCCGGAGGCCTATTTAGGTTTTGCCTTTCTGATAATGTCCCAAGCCTTCGGCCAGCGTGGTCAGTCTCTCAGCAGGTCTGCTGAAAAGAACACAGAGAGGGACAAACATTATGCAGTGCTGCAGAGGGGACCGAGGGCTGCATCCAGGGTCACCCTGCTGGCCCAGTATCTGGACTGGGGTGCTGGTGCTGGGAAGCAGCTTAGGGTCCCAAGGCAGTTGGGGGAGCTGGGGATCTGGCTCAGCAGTAGAATCTTTGCCTAGCAAGCTGGAAGCCCTGGGTTCAGTCCTCAGCCCCCAAAACAAAAACAAAACAAAAATTAAAAAATAAACAAACTTCCCTTAGAAAACAATTCAACCAAAGAAATACAGTAAAACCAAGGCAGATGGAGCAGTCCTAGGAGCTCTGTCTTTTTAAACTGATGTGTGTACACTTGTGGTGCCCTGTAATGGTATCACTAGCAGCCGTGCACAGTCCTGCGGCCACCCTGACCTCCAGACTGGAGTCCCAGGCTGCGGAAGCCCCACTGCTCTTGGTCCCCCCGTCCACCATGTCCTTGGTGATCGGAGACCTGGGCCCTTCTAGCACTGTCAGGCAGGACGTCACCCATCACAGACAGGAAGAGAGCAGGGGTTCTCTACACAGCTTCTCTCAGCCCCTCTGGACCTCCTCTCCCCTGGTTCCACGGGGGACCCTCAGGGCTTGGAGGGGTTGAACCAGATAGCAGACCTCAACAGGGCTCAGTGTCCAGGCTCAAGTCAGTCAGGAAGGCCCAGGTGGGCAGAAACAGAGCCCCCAGGGTCAGACAAGAGTCTCCCGGCGCCCCCAGAGGCGTCCACCCTATTGAGGGACAGAATGCCAGCTCCTTCCGGAAACTTCCAAAGCACCAGTAGCGGGTGTGCCTGGCTGAGCCAGTCTCCCTCTGTCATGCCCCCCCACTCCCAGCTCTGGTGTCCAGGGTGACCAGCACTGCCTCTGGGCAGAAAGCCAGCACAGAAGCCCAGGACATCCCTGAGCGCCTGTCACCATGGCAACGTGCCTGCCACACACCCTGCCTGAGCCCAGGTCCAGTAGGGTTTTTTGAAATTCAGAACGTCAGAATGGGCAGGGCCTCCTAGATCAGCTGATGCCAGCCTCTCCCTCTCCCAGGTAGAGAAACTGAGGCCCAACAGGGGCAAGGATGGATGGGAGAACCTGTTGATTAAAAGCTTGCTTCCATGCTGCCTGCCTGCCGCACCCCTTCACCAGGCCACGGAGGGTGTTCCAGCGTCTGATCTCCCAGGAGGGGACAGTGGCGGATGGGGATGGTGTTGGCAGCTGGAACCCGACACCAACGATGAATAAATGATGCTCCCCTGCCGCAGCCAGAGCTCCTGGCCACTGCCACCACTCAGCGCCAACACCAGCGCCAGCACTGCTGGCCAGGGCGGTCACCAGGTGGCCCATCGCCTGCCACCATCTCCCCCAGCTCCAGCTACACAAAGAAGATGGCTGGGCAGTGGTGGGGCACAGGGCCCCTGTGGGCACTGGGGCTATGCCTCTCGGGGGTCTCCAGCCAGCTGGTGGAGGTGAGGCCGTACGCGGAGGGCATGGGGGCTTGGGTCCAGGAGGGGGGCTGTGGGACGCTGGGCTGATCTCTGCCCCGGACCCTGGGAGGCCAGGCTAGTGGTGTGACTGCAAGCTGGGTGGGGGACCCAGATCTGGGCTCTGATGATTTCAGGAGCTCCATGAAGTGGGAGATACCTCCCACCTGACTCCACGTCCACCTGGGGACACAGCCATACCCCATGGGAGGGGGACACAGCTCCTGGGGTTCAGTCATGGTCTCCTGGCCCAGGAGCGCAGCCACTGATCTTCTTGACCTCAAATCTGATGGGGGAGGCAGACCCTGAACTCGGGGTGCTCTGGGAGCCACAAGCTCTGCCCTTGAGAGCAAGGTGGTCGCAGTCTGGGTGGGGGCCACAGGCTGAGCAGGAGGGGCTGACAGGGCCTGGGTAAGGACCTGGCACTGGCCGCAGAGAGACAAAAGTGCCTGAGACAGCGAGAGGCACACAGGGGCCTCCCAAGGTGCTGTGCAGGGGGCCAGGTGGGAGAGGGTCAGAGCCACACCCAGGTGTCTGAGGAATATAGCTCTGAAGTGGAGGGGCTGGGAGACGGGGACAAAGCGCTGTGCTCCCACTCAGCCTGTGCCTGCTGCTGCTGACCGGGGGCCGTGATAGAGGTTGAACTGGGTCCAGTCAGCTCCAGTATCCCTGTAAGGGGACCCAGGCCAGTGTGAGCCTCTGGGGCAGCCCTGGGGCCCCAGGTGCAGAAACCCAGCTGGCCTGGGCATGGGCAGAAGTGGGGGCAGGGTCAAGTCTATTCTGAGCTCAGGAACACGTCTGTCCCCTGCTCACCCAGGGACTGGTGTTTGGAACCCACCACCTGCCACCCCAGAAGCACCAGAACAATGGTTAGGGATGGTTCCATGTCACCCACCCCAGTGTACAGAATGCAGGCCCTCTCAGGGCCTGACACCCATGGCCTGGCCAGTGCCTAGTGCCCTGTGAGCCCAACTCCGCCCACCACACACGGGGGCAGGAAGGGTATTGGGGAGAGCTCTCCACACCAGCTCTGAACCTGCTGGCTTCACTGAGGCCCACACAGTCAGCCAGGCCACAGCCTGGGCCTTAGAAATAGAGACCAATGCCACCAGCAAGACACCAGCCCTTGGCCAGGCAGGGCCCCGTTTCACCCGCTCACACCCAGCACCCGCAGGCTGTGCCCACCCTACATGCCTGACCCCTGTACCCACCTGTGCCTACCCATAACGTGTCTGACCCCAGGTTTACAGCCCGAAGCTGTCTCTCGCCAACTTTCCCATCAGTTTGGGTAGAAAGGGCTTCCCCGAGGGGCTGGACACCAAGCAAGGTCAGGAAGGTGAGGCGCAGAGGGAAGAAGCCCCGTGCTAGTTTAAGGCAGTGCAGACAGTCAGTACAGAGCCAGATCTAGGCGCACCATGCCCGTTTGTGTCTTCCAGTGCTGCATGGTGGTGTCTGCCGGGTGAGGGGCGCCAGGCATGTGTGGGTGCCAGGCTCTGGGAACAGAAGGGGCTGAGTGGTGCGGAGAGCAGGAGCCATAGAGGTCCTCAAGTTTGTCCCTCTGCTTCTGTGCTGCACGGGGGCCTGGGGTCTTCTTCCTGAGCACTGATCCCCCCACTCATGTCTCTCTGGCAAATGGTGGGAGAGGGTCAGAGTCATTTCTAGACAGGGTGGCTCTGCCCAGATTCCAAGGACAGGGCCGTGTGCCCTAGATAGCCAGGACAGAGCTCTGTCCCCAAATGTCTAGGACAAGGTCATGGCCCCCAAGATACCTAGGACAAGATCACATGCCCCAAACAGCCAGGACAAGATCAGGGACCCCAAGATGCCTGAGACAAGGTCATGGCTCCCAGAGATGCCTGGGACAAGGTGACTCCGCCTTCACCACCTCCCACCCCCCAACGCCCAGGGCAGGGCTACGTCCCCTGTTGTGTGGGCTAGGACTGTGTCCTCTGGAAGTGCAAGCGTGGATGGTGTCCCTTCATGCCTTGGAGAAGGACCCTGTCCCTTAAAACCTGGGACAGGATGGTGTCTCCGGGGAAACCGAGGGCAGGGCCGCTCCCTGGGAAGGTGGGAGGTGATGGGCTGGACCCTGCCCGGGACTGCCACAGCCGCACTTATATCTTTTGACCTCTGAGTGTCGCCATTGTATTACAATTTTTTCTCCCATCCAGTGAGGACACTGGTGGGTCTGCACTGCCACTATGAGGCCCCCTGGTGGAGACCTAGGGCAAAGCGGCACAGGTTGGGCCTGGCTCCACCGGAGGGCAGGAAAGTGAATCCTGTCCTCAGCACAGGCGCCCATGAGAGGGCTCTGGACTGGACACAGGAGGTGTCCACAGGAGCCCCGGACCTGGCTGGGACACCAGTTCCTGCCGTCTCTTTCCCCCAAGCACCAGCTGGCCTGGCCCTGCGTGTCCCTGCCGCTTGTCTGGGGCTCTGCTCAGCTGGTGCCTCTCAGCCTAAGCTCATCAAGGTCTAGGCTGCTGGGCCTGAATGTTCAAGGTGCGGGGTTTCAGGAGGTTCTGCAACCCAGTTGAGTCCTTGCAGAGACCTGGACGTCTGGGCTCCAGCCCAACCAGCAGGCCTCCCCTGGCTCACTCCTCTCGCATTCTCTCACTCCTCTCCCATGGCTCACTCCTCTCCCATTCTCTCACTCCTCTCCCATGGCTCGCTCCTCTCCCATTCTCTCCGCAGCCCAGCACCGCACCACCCAAGCCCAAGCCCCCTCCACTGACCAAGGAGACCGTGGTGTTCTGGGACATGCGGCTGTGGCACGTGGTGGGCATCTTCTCGCTCTTCGTGCTGTCCATCAGTGAGTAGCCCCCGCCCTGTCCACGTCCAATCCCTCCGCCCTTGAGTGGCTCCAAGCAGCAATTCCGGGCAGTGCAAGCAGGGCAGGCGCCCGCAAGAGGTCTACTGTGGCTGCTGGCACCGCCGGATGCGCGCACCGTCCCCAGGGAGGGCTGAGGGCAGTGGTGACCCAAAGATTTCTGCTGCTGCTGCTGCTGCTGCTGGATGTGGGAGGCAACCACACGGCAATTAGGGTAATTACAGGGGACTCCTGCGAGTGCAGGACGTGTCATTTTCCCTGTGGCCTCCTCTGCTGTCCCTGCAGCTTGGCCAGCTCACAGGGCCCACACCCGGGGCCCAGTGAGGCTGCCCCCTGCCGGCGCCCCAGATGCCTGGCAGATGTGGCTCTGGCCTCGTCAAATTCCATCTCTGGGAGTGACTCAAATCAAAGCAGGAGGCCCTTCCCCTCCCAGGCTCTGGGCGCTCCCCCGAGCAGCCGTAGCCAAGCAAGCCTGGCAGGCGCCCCTTCCTCGGCCCTCCCCCTGGGACGAGTCTGGAGTCAGGAAGGAGGGTGGAAAATCTGCGTGAAATGCAGGCCAGGTGCGGGAGCTGCAGGGGCGAGGCGAGTCATCTGAGGAGGGTCCCATGGGGAGGCAGTGAGGGAGCACAAGGGTGCAGGGAGGGGAAACTCAGGCCCCTTCCCAGGCCCTGGTGGCCCAGAAAGGCACTGGGAGAAGGGAAGGGGTAAGCAGAGGCAGGAGGGGCACCCTCTCTCCTCAGAGAACCCCTGTGCATGAGGCACCCACCCAGGGAACCCCGTTTTATGTTCTAGCAGCTTCCCAGGAGGGGTTGCCCTGGCCAAGGCGGGAAGTTCTGGGCCCACAGCCCAGATGTGAGGGGCTCCAAGGAAGCGGCAACATCTGACTCCCATGTGCCTCTCCAGGCACCAGAGAAAGTGTCCCTTCCTCCCCAACTAAGCAGAGGCAGTCTTGTGCTCCCAGCTGAGGCCTCAAAGATAGACACTTGTACCCCATACGTGGGGGCAGGGCTGGGGATCATCGGCCCCCAAAAGCCCCCCAGAGCAGCCCTCAGCATGGGTCTGGGGAGCATCCCCAGGACAAGGTGGAGTTATGATCACCTCCAGCTGTGCTGCCCTCGGGCACCGAAGCTCAGGGTCATAGCAGCAAGTGGCAGTGTCACCTGGACATGGGTCACGCAGAGCAGCACCACCCCAAGCTGGTTTTCTGAAGGGAATGGTTAGCCCCAGGGCCTGAGGGGCATGTGGGCATCCCATGCCTCCCATAGTGACCAGGAAACCTCTCTGCTCACCAGGCTGTCTGGCCCACGGCGCTGTGGATGGAGGGGCTGGGGCAGGGGGTGCCCAGGCGGGTATCCTGCAGCCCTGGACTCAAACTTGACCCAAAATACTGTTTCTCCACTTCTCTGAAGAGAAGCAGGCAGGCCAGGTGCAGCCAGGTGGGCAGGCCTGGAGCGGGGCAGGCTTAGCCCTGCCAGCAGTTGCCTGCTGCAGCCTGCTTGGGCTGGCTGAGGAGGTGCGCATGGGTGGCAGCAGCAGTGGCCCAAGCCAGTAGGGTTGGGTGGGGGACAAGTCTGGGTCTCAGGCATGCACAGGGAGGGCTTGAGAGACTAGAGCACAGGTCTCCCGAAACAGCTATGCTCACCCAGACCACTGCTGGCCTCGCCCTGGGGGTGTGACCCAATCTCTTTTTTCAGGCCCAGCTCATCCCATTCATTCATTCATTCATTCATTCATTCATTCATTCGTTTGTTCATTCATTCGTTCATTCATGTATTCATTCACTGCTTCTCTCTGAAAGAAGGTGAGACTGGGACGGGCCCTGATTGCACAAACTAACCCTATAGGGTGCTCTAGCCCAGACTATCTAGGTCTCATTAGTTTCCTCAAAATAGGCCTTGCCTGTGCTGCCTGGGCCCTGCTGGCCCTCAGGAGCTGGCCAGGAAGCTTGGTTTGCCCATCCCATTTATAAGGACAGGCTCTAGCGCTCCCCCCAGAGCTAGGGCCAAGGTGGTCAGACTGGGGGCCTTGGAAAAATAAGCTCAGTAAGGCCAGGTCCTGGCAGCCGTGCCCTGCTCTGCCCTAACTACCCAGTCCAGGACCATGCCCTGGCCCAACTGGCGTGGGCACAGCTGCCCTCGGCTGGAAAACCACTCCCAGAATAACTCTGGTAAGGTGAACACCCCAGGCAGGGTCTGGGTCCCCTCCCTGGTGAGGCCCCAGCCTGCAGCAGGGGCCACAAGACACATAGCCACATCCTCAGGGGTCTCTGCTGTGAGAGCCTAGGCGGACAGGTGGGCTGCACAGTGCAACCTGGAGGCCTGGCAGAGGGGAACAGCTTGGGGTGCAGTGCAGCTGGGGCCTCGGACCAGGACCAGGCCAAGGATGCACAGGGTGGAGCGAAGGGAAACACGTGGGCCTGAGGGACATCTCCAGCAGGACACGCAGAGGGGATGCTGGTGGCCTAAAGTGTGGGTGCCTTCCAGAAGCCACTCAAGGCCCAACCCTGACCAAGACTCCCTGTCCTCCCCAGTTATCACCCTGTGCTGTGTCTTCAACTGCCGCGTGCCGCGCACCCGGAAGGAGATCGAAGCTCGGTACCTGCAGCGGAAGGCAGCCAAGATGTACACAGACAAGCTGGAGACTGTGCCGCCCCTCAACGAGCTCACGGAAATCCCTGGAGGTGAGGGGGGCGGCTCTGGTGCCACCTGCCATCCAGAGTCACCCTGTTCTGGCCCTTTACCTGCGGCAGGGTCGGGGGGGACACAGACTGAGATGGGGTCAAGGAGCCTCTCCCAGGTAGGAGGTAGGAAGGAAGCCGGAGGGCATGGGGGTGGGGGGCAGGCTCAGGACACCTTCGCTGCAGACCTCAGCCCCCACCTCAGCCTCTTAGCTTGTTTCCTCTCCCCACAGAGGACAAGAAGAAAAAGAAGAAAGACAGCGTGGACACGGTAGCCATCAAGGTAGAGGAGGATGAGAAGAAAGAGGCCAAAAAGAAGAAAGGAGAGAAGTGAGGCAGCAGCAATGGCTGGCAGTGTGGACTTCGAATTCAGATTCAAATTCAGCTCAGCCTGCGGAGCTGTGGCCCAGGAGCTGAGGCCATGGCTGATCCTCACTGCCTGGCAGGTGCAGGGCCAGGACTACACAGGTGCCAGCCCCCTGGCCACATGAGCACTTACTGTGGACCACTGTCCCCACCTTTCCTAGCAGGGGCAGAGGCGGCACGGAGGCAGCGGGGGCAGTTTCCTTCTGCGCTGACCACGTTGGGGTGACAGGCCATACCTGGCTGCACACAGGCCGAGAGAGGCTGCCCCAGTGGCAAGAAGCCTGTCCCAAGCCCGGGGGTCCTGCAGACCCCAGCTCAGCATGATGGCATGCCCTTGCCTTGCTTGTCACCCAGGTGCAGAGGGCACAGGGCCCAGAGAATCGGGAATGTTGGGCTGCCAGAGTGGTTCTTTCTATGCCCAGCAGTGGCTGGAGTTTTGGCCTAGGAGGTCAAGGCAAGGCTGCACCCCACTTGCAGCTGCTCCACACCTGGCCTCGTGCTCCCCCACACCCTACAGCAACTTCTCTGACAGGAAGAGGAGGAGCCAAAGACCAAGGGGCTGACCCTGGGGAAGGGAGAGGGGCAGGGGGCTTCCGCATGGCACCAGGCCTTACACGTGGCTCTCAGACCTGAGCCTGGGACTCAGGAGACAGCACAGGAGGCCCCCAGCAGGGGCACTGCTGCACAGTAGCCTGCCAATCTGTAAATAAAGCTGAGCACATCTCAGACCCTTGCTGTGCTCTCCCCTGGCCACTTACGTGGGGCTGACACAGCTGTTAGCCATAGCAGGTGGTTCAGGCCAGGCCAGACCTCCCTCCCTGACTCTTTTCCTAGCCTGATGAAGGTGGCAAGGAAAGGGGACCCAGAGGCTGACAGGCAGCTATGGCCACCAAAGTCCACCGAGACCCGCAAGCCCTGGAACTGGGGAGTGCGCTGGGCTGGCCAAGCCGTCCTTGACACCCCTCCACTCTGCCCCATGGCTTCCAGTGACATTTGAGCCCTGAGCCTGGAGCTGGGCACTCACAGATCAGCATCCCACAGGGTGGACTGATCTGGGCTCAGGAGCCTGGCAGCAGAGATCGCAGGGGGCCTGCCCTGGAGGCTGGGCACTTTGCCCTCGGACAGCCACAGCTGCTGTCCTGTGCCCTCAGGAGGAAGGTGCAGACTCCTCCATGTAGGGCTGGCCAGGGTCACTGTCCCCTCTAGGTCAAGACCTCCCTGTGCAGCAAGGCAGGGGAAGTCCCAAGGGGCAGAAAAGAGGCCACCAAGAGCCTCAGGATGGCGATGAATGTGCCCCACCTCTGACCCGAGCCTCCAGCCCTCTGCTGGCTGCTGATGGAGGGATAAAATAAAGCTCATGAAAAGAACCCATACCAGCCCCAAGACGCAGCTCCACCCCGCTTGGGATCCCTGGAGCCCTAGCTTCGGGCTACATTGTATGTTGTTCCAAGCCACTGTACAGAGCCACCCTTCACCATCCCACCAAGTCCCAAGGACAGAGGCAGTTCCTGGGGTCCCACCCCCTCTGGTGCACCCCCCCAATTGGCCCAGGAGAGCAGAACCCCAAACCCAGGCAGGAGGTGAGGAAAGAGAAGCATTTACATTTGATCTTAGCCAAAAGGCTGAGAAGCGATGAGAGAAGCATTTAATGGAGCTGAGCATCACAGAGCAGCCAGGAGGCTGAAGGGCAGCAGCAGGGCCAGGAGCAGGGCTCTGGATGGGGCATGCAGGCCGGAGGGCTGCCCACTGATCTGGGTGGAGATCCAGGACTGGTAGGGAGAGACTCGGAGGAAGATGGGCGGCGCCTCGCTCTTCTCGCAGCCCGCACCCCAGCTCATCATGCCCACCAGGTATGAGATGCCCTCTGAGGAGCACACCAAGGGCTCGCCCGTTGCCTCCTGTGGGAGTGGGGAATCAACAGGATCAGGGGACCAGTGGGACCTGGGGGGATGGGCCTGGCTCAGGGATCCCACAAACACCCGCCCTCACACCCAGCACCCCGCTGCCCTCCATCCCCACTCATCCCCCCTCGCCCACCCTCCCATGCCCCTCTAGCCCCCCTAGTCCCTTCCCTCTGCTTCCTGGAGGTCCTGGGGGAGGGGAGAAGGGCAGGGAGCTCACGTAGCAGAACTGCTCCCTGCTGGGATCTTTGGCACAGATCATCTGCGAGGTGATAATCCAGACCAGGGAGGAGACGGTAGAGAACTTGTGGTAGAAGTCGTCGCACTTCTTGTTGTTCAGGATGGTGACTTCCTTCTCCTGGATGGTCCGGAATTGGGGCCATGCACCTGTGGGCCGGGCCTGGCTCACTGCCACTCTCGGCCACCAGCTTGGCCTCCACCTCTCTCTGCCCTCCCTGACCTCCCCATTGGCCTCTTCGGCGTGTGGCACAGTGGCTGCTCTACCTGGCACTTCCCAAGGGCTCCTGGATCTGGAGATCCTGGAGCAGGCCACCACCCTGAATCTGGCCTTGCTTCCTGCTGTCTGCGCCTCCTCCCTCCCACCTGAGGCTCTCAGCTGTGCCAGCCTTCCTGTCCAAGGCTGCTGGAGATGAAGCCCTCCTTTCCCAAACTCTCCCCCCACTCTCTACCATGTGACCTGGGCAAGGAGACACCTGGCCCCTCCCAGATCCTCCCCAGCAAGGGCTATTATAGAGGCCCCCTGAGGATGTGGACATTCCTGGGATACCCAGATAGGCCTGAGAATACCCTTGCTTTGGAGGCTTTGCCCCACATTGGAATGACAAGGGATGGAGGTCCCCAGAGAGAGGGGAGGAGCTCTAATAAACCCTAAGAGACCCCAGGCTCGCAGGTGCAGAGTCCCCCACACCCACCTCCCGACAGACACTGTCCTTGATTAGGTGTGCCTCCCATGAAAGTCCTGCCCACCCATCTAGCCTGGGACCAAGGTCTCAAGGATGTTCAGGGTCCCCAAGGCCAGAGAGGCTGTGATGTGTGCACTTCATAGACCCTCACACATATGAGACCTCAGAGACCCAGTGGGACAGTCAGTCCCATGGGCAGCAGGTCTCTTGGGGACAGAGTCCAGGAGACATCATCCCCGGGGCACCCAGCCTGCACCCTGGCCTGAAAGGTTGTGACTCACCGTCAGCCCGGGCAAGTCCCCAGCCCATCACGGTGCAGAGGTAACCATCCTCCACGTTGTCGTCCAGGTTGGGCAGGCAGATGGGCCACACATACTTGCTGTAGTTGAGTGGATGCTGGAGCCTGAGGAGGCCAATGTTGTTGGCCTGGCCGACCCAGGACCAGTAGCGCTGGGGGTGGTACCCAGGGTTCATTATGACCTGCAGCACCTGGACGTCGCTGCTGGTCGGGGTCAGCTTATCGATCCACGGGCTCCCCACCCTCACTGTGTAGTTCACGTCATGCCTGGGGGACCAAGAAGGGCTGTCTGCTGCCAACTCTGCCCCCACCCGGCTACCATCCCCTGCTCCAACCACCTCCAAGCATGTTTCTCGCCACAGACACAAACATGGCTCCCCATTCCCTAAAATGAAGGGGAAAACAGGCTAGCAGAAGCACAGTGTCCTGCGCTGGGCTGCACAGCTAGCAAGTGTGTAGGGACTCTTCCCAGCATCTAAGCTGCACCTTGGCAGGCAGAGGGGCCCTGTACAGCTGCCCATGGTTGACTTTCAGGTTGTCTTCCCTGGTGCACCCCTGGGGTCCCTGTGTGGACATGGAGGCACGTGTCTCCACTGGCAAGGTCCCTCCCCTTAGGCCACTCTCAGGCCATAGAGCATGGGACACCCACTCTGTTCCCAGACTGAGTAGACACCCCAGTGAGCAACTGTCCTCCCTTTTCTGTCCCTTCTGCCCTCAGTGCTCCCAGGATGGAGGGACAGAGGAGGAAGAGGAAGGAGCAAAAGGGGGAAGGGCAAGACCCAGAAGGCAGCAAAGACCAGGCTGATGGCTTCTAGCACTCCGTTCCCTGGCGTAGACCAACTCACAGCGCCAAGGCCAGGCCAGGTGTACAGGGAGCATCCACTCCCAAGCTCAGGCCCTGAGAGAATCTGCAGGACTCGGCCCTGCTTGCCCAGAGCTGGGGCTAAGCCAGGCTGGGACGCAGCTGCCACTGATGGGTGGGTGACTATGCCCCCTGACCCCAGTGTCTCCACCATCAGCCCCAGCCTTGGACTCACTGGCTCACACAATGGGCCACAGCCAGCACCCAGCGGGAGGCGATGAGGGTGCCTGCACAGACATGGGTGTTGTTGGCCCGCACGCTGACCATCCAGGGTGCCCGCCGGACCATGGCCTCTGCATCCCGGAGTGTGGGGTCCTGTTCAGAGGAGGAGCCGCAGGCTGAAGAGGAATGAGAGTGTGATGAGTGTGTGTAGGGGGGCTACTGGAAGTGGGCCGGATCCTTCACAGCGGCCCCCATGTGTCCCTGCAGACACACAGGCAAGGCCTTGGGTAGCCACCGCTGTGGGCGGGAGGCCTGGCCAGGGGTGCTCCGTTGTTCCTCCCACACTTGCCAGGCATGCAGGACTGTCCGGCAGGGGGCTGGTAGGGCTTGAGGCTCCAGGTGCTCTCTGCTGGCAGGAGTGCCAGCCACTGTGGCCATTTGGCAGAGACTTCAGACCAGGCCTCCCACGCTGCGCTGTGTGCCCGCAACGCTGTGTGCTCGTGGCCACCAGAAGGCTCCCTCCTCCCTTGTCTTGTCCCTCCTCACAGTCGCCTGCATACTCACGAGGCTCAAAACCCGGTGCTGCTGAGGAAACTGGCATCGAGGGGGTCAGTGCCTGGCGGGGACGGAGAGGCCTGCTGGGGGTCCAGGGTTTACCGGGGTCAGCGGAGGCAGTGGTGGCTGGTGCCCCGGTAGCGTGGCTGAAGCCCACGCGGCCTGCAGGGACACGGAGCAGTCAGGGTGAGAGCCGGCATGGACAGGGGTGGGGGGAAGGGCCTGGGGAGGCCGGGGTCTCACCCAATGGCGGGAGCAGCAGCAGCAGCAGCAGCAGGAGTAGCACGTGGGCATGGGCGTGGGCGTGGGCATGGTCAGGGACACTTGTGCGGTGACCCCGAGGAGCACAGAGCCTGTGGAAACTCTGCCCACGTGTCCTGCAGCGGGGCTCCATCAGGGGAGGCAGCGACTGTGACAGTCCAGACCGTGGCGCCCCCCGCCGGCCGCCTGCCGCCACCCTAGGTAACTGGGTTTCCGCCAGGGCGCCACCCAGTGGCCACCCGCTGTGTGCCCCTGTCCCGGACCTGCCCCTTTCTTCCTCCCACGCTGGGCCACAGTCTGACCTCAGCCAATTACAGGAGCCTTTCTCTGTGCTGTTATCCCCGAGGGCAACAAGAAGCCCAACCCAAGCCCTCCCCACCGGGAGGGGGCGCCCAGCCTTTCCAACCAGCACCCTCACCTCCCTGCCGGCCTGACAGCAAAACAGGGCTCTGCCTCAGCCCCTGAGAAACAGATTAGTGATTGTTCATAGTGATTTGGAAGACTGCGTCCTTTAAGCAACTACTCCCACCTCGCTGGCCAGCGATGTGCTTGCTTAAGATCTGTGCGCTAGGAAAGGTGGCTTAGAGGAAGTGTCCTGCCACAGAGAGTGAGGGTGACCACCTGGCCACCATGAGTACGAGTCTCTTTGGACACTGGGATTTGGGAGGTGTTGGTGGCTTGGTTACAGGTGGCATTGTTAAAGAGCAGTAAAAGGGTACCCTGCCGGGAGCACAAGGCCACTGGAAGAGTCCAACTAATCAAAGACCAGGTGAATCCGGCCAGGATACCCTGACATGTGCCAAGGCCTCTGGGCTTAGGAGAGACACTCGAGTAGCCATTCTGTGTGCCAACCTCTGGAAGGACGGCCAAGGAACCGTGCAGATGCTGGGTGTCTAGGGGGAGGGGTGGCTGGCTGCTCCAAACCTGAGAGCCCCATATGGGGGACTCCCTACTGCTCAGGCTGGCCAGTTTGGGCCTTGCCTTATGCTCTCTGGGAACTGAGGGGACCACGAAGGCCACTAAACTGCCCAGGGCACTGTCACCACACACAGCCAAGCAAGCCTTGGGCTCTGCCCCACAGCACCCACTCTGCTGGAAGCTGTGGACCCTTAGGAGAGTGGGAGGGTAGGAGGGCTTGGGAGAGGCCCGTGGGCTCCGGAACACAGGCCACAGGTGCAGGGCTGCGATCTGGTCCTTGTGGGCTTTGTGAGGAAGCATGGGAGAAATGTTCAGGAATCCCAAGGAGGCCCTAGGGACTGGAGTTGCTGGAGGTCACCAGGAAGACTGGGTGGGGACTGGAGGGAACTGCCGTCTGTGTGTGGGGGGGCAGGCTACCGAGGTCACAAAACAAGCACACACAGACACCGGGTAAGACTGTTGGGAGGCCAGCTCCTCACAGGATGGCGGGGGTCAAGGACAAGATAATGTCAGATGTTAAGGTCAGGAGCCCCTCCATGGAAGACCTGAGAAGACACGTCCCCACACCTCCCTCAGGTCCCCACCCAAGTCCTCTGCAGCCTGTGATCTCTGTTTCTGGGGTGCCTGTGCTGGAAACAGCTCACAGGAGTCATGAGGGAGGCCAAGGGGACCAGCGGATGTGGCCAGCAAGCTACAGTGGGCTCAGGAAGGCAGGCAGGCCCCGATGGAGTTCAGCCGGGCCATCTGCTTCTTGATCTAGAGGTGAAGTGGGAGGTGCTGGAATGGTGACAGGGACATGGTCCGGCTAGCCACAGTGCAGGCTCCAGCTCCATACTCCATCTGAATCCAGGTCTTACTCACTTGGCAGGCCAGGGAGCTGCCGGAGGTGTCTGGTAGAGTAGGACCCCCAGGGTCTACTCCTCCTTAAACCTACTCTGGACGCAAAAGTTCTCATCCCCTTCTTGTAAACCCTTAGCCATAGCCACTGACCTTCTTTCCCACCATCCTGCCTAGAGAGTGAGCTCTTGGAAATGGAAACCAGTTCCCCTCTTTTCTTGCAAAAATACGTGCTTGCATCAGAAGGTATTCATGGTGCCATACACGTTATCACAATGTAATAGCTGTGGCTGCTGTTAGGGGCCGGTTTCTTATGATTTCTGAAGCTTCATAGCCATCTGTAATGCTGGAAACTTTTATGAGTCAGACAAGCAGCTCATTAGATTTACCTGCCTGATACAATACAAACCAAGATTTGTGGGACAAAATACAATCAAAAGTCCACAAGACACTGAAAGAAAAAATAATAAAGATAATATAAATTTTTTTTGTACCAGGAATTGAACTCAGGGCCTTGCGCTTGCCAGGCAGACACTGCACCCACTCAGCTACAACCCTGGCCCTAAGAATATTCTTAGGAACATAAAAGAAAGTCTGCATATTGTACAGACACACCACTGTCCACAGAGAAGAAGACATTGTGTGAAAAACTTCAACTCAGAACTGATTTCCTCCTGAATGAAAGACAAAACACCCTGACCAACCTGCTCGCTGGAGGTGAGAGCTGAAAGGGTGAAATTTTGAAAACTGTCACCTTAAATCATGAATGAGCATTGAAGACAAAAGACTCCTCTGAACCCAGACAAAGTGAGAACCGGACCTCAGAGGGGCAAGGGGAATCAGGAAGCTGTTGCTGTGCCCCAAGGCCCTTGGCCACACCCAGGGAGGCTGAGATTCCGAGGCAGCCTCATGCTTGGGTGCCAGGCACAGAGGCACAACCTGAGCCTGCCTGAGGAGGCCCTGTAGGAGGGGGACGCCCTCTGAGGACAACGGGAAATGGCCCTGGTGTGAATGTTCAGCCTGGACTCACACTGGCTGGGGACTCAAAAGCCTCGGCTAAGGATGGATATCACTTAAAGTGTTTGCAGTGTCCCCTGGCACCTGGCAGCAGGTGCCTGCCTTTCAAGCCACCTTTCAGGGAATCCCCAAGAGTTTGAAAGATCGCATGCTCACAAAGAAACCAAGGCACCGTGATCCCAGGAGCGCCTGAGCAACCAGAGTCAGAGGCTTGGAAGCTGGGGCAGGGCCCCTGCCCCGTGGGCCCTCGTGTGTTCGAAGCCCTGTTTCTCAGGTCCTGGTATGTGTTGATCTTTATTCTACCTGCCTATTTCATAAATGTTGTTTCCTCTCCTTCAATATAGAGTAAAATAATTTAAAATGATACAGGGCTTGTTTTTAACATGAATCTGTAACAATCAAGCACTTCCAGTTAAAATTAGAGCAGTTTTTTCTTTTGGTCCTCTTTTTTTTT